TGTACAATCAGATGCATTTGAGTATAATGTAATTGACGACTGACTCTCATCCTCGGTCTAGCCCTGTTCCTAAACAGGATAAGTCTCTTATTGAGGTACAGGATGTTGATGGGGAGTGCAACATTAGGCTGGGAGGTAATGTCTTGTAATAATTTGGGATGTTCCCAGGTCCCTTTATATGTGAACAATATAGTTTCACTATCTTTACTTTTGTCCTTATTGTGACAGTAAACACTTGCTGAAAGGAAGTTTTCCATTAACCTCAAAATTGAAGGACTCTGTATTTTATGCTATTTCATTATTTGAACCTGCATTGTCATGTTACAGTTGGTTATACTGTGTTTTCAAATACAGAAGTTATTAATATAGGCTTGCAGGATCTGTCTTGTAACCATTCCAGTGTTCCTCAATTTTCTCAGATATAAGAAGAGACTAAGATGGAACTAGCTCTCATTCCGATTCAGATGAGAAAAAGCAGTCATATGCCTCTATTTTGAAGGACAGCATAAAACACTCTTGTGAATTCTGTACTGGGAATCTTTTTAAGAGACAGGATCTCACTCGGTTGCCCAGGCTGGAGTGAAGTAGTTACAATCATAGCAACCTCAAACTCCTGGGCTGAAGCTATTCTCCCTCCTCAGCCTCCTGAGTAGCTTGAATCACTACAGGCACACACACCACCATGCCCAGCTCTTTTTATTATCATTATTATTATTATTATTATTTGTAGAGACAGCGTTGCCCAGCCTGGTCTCAAACTCCTGGCCTTAAGCAATCTTCCTGTCCCAGCCTCCCAAAGTGCTGGGATTACAGGAATGAGCCACCATGCCCAGCTGTACTGGGACTCTTGATAAACGGTTATTCAACATTTCCTTTGGGGAGCTAACATCTGGGCATTTCACAGGGCTCCATAATAATGGCTGGTGGCTTCAGTTTTGTCAGCCACCCAGCCTGTATGTGAGTCCTCCATTCCACCTGACCTCCCCTCATCCCCTAGACATACCCCTTGAAGTTCCAGGGTCTGTATATTTCCAAGTCTCCTTTGGGTGTGGCCTGGCCCGGCACATGGCCATGGTGACCACATTGCTCAAAATCAGATCCCTTCTGCATGTTATGGGGTCCACACCATGCCAAGTACACCAGCCATGGGAAGGAAAATGTAATGCAGGAGATGAGAACCCAGATACCAGTAAGAGATACAAGAAGGGCAGCCAGGCACAGTGCCTCACACCTATAATCCCAGCACTTTGGGAGGCCAAGGTGGGTGGATCACCTGAGGTCAGGAGTTCAAGAACAGCCTGGCCAACATGGTGAAACCCCATTTCTACTAAAAATACAAAAATTAGCTGGACATGCTGGTGGGCACCTGTAATCCCAGCTACTTGGGAGGCTGAGGCAGGAGAATTGCGTGAACCCAGGACGCAGAGGTTGCAGCGAGCCAAGATTGTGCCACTACACTCCAGCCTGGGCAACACTATCGAGAGAGAGAGAGAAAGAAAGAGAGAGCGTGCTACAAGAAGGGCAAATCTGAAAGCGGTCAGAGGTGAGGCTCAGAGTCAGACAGCTCCACAACCCAATTACCGGGGTTAAAGCTCTCATTTTCTCATTCTGTCATTATTCTCCAAGTGTCTTTTGGCAAGTTTCTTAGCCTTCTATTCCTCACTTTCATAATCTACAAAATAAGAAGTAATAGCAATATACACTTCATGGAGTTTTGATGTAATTAAAGTTCTTGGCACATAATTAAATTTCTCTTAAAAAAAAAAAAAAAAAAAAAAAACTCGTAGTACTATCATCATCATTATTGTCCTGGAGTAAAGAATTGGAAGCCATGAAGGAAAGTTTTCCCAACTATATTAGTTTCCTTGGCCTGCCATCCCAAAATACCACAAATCAGGTGGCTTGAAACCACAGAAGCATATTATCTTATAGTACAGGAGTCCAGAAGCCTGAAATCATGGGATCATTGTGTTTGCTTCCTTCTGGAAGCTCTGTGGGAGAAACCAGCCCCTCCTCTCTCCTAACTGCTGGTGGTGGCCAACAATCCCTGGTGTTCCTTGGCTTGTAGATGCATGACTCCAGCCTCTGCTTCCATCTTCTCTGTGTCCCTATGTCTTTGCCTTTTCTGTCTCATAAAGACATTTTTGCTGTATTCAGGGTTCACACTAATCCGGTGTGATCTCATCTTAAACTCTACGTTAAGTACATCTGCAAGACCCTTATTCCAACTGAGTTCATATTCTGATATTCCATGTGGACATAAATCTTGGGGTGACTCTATTCATACCACTACAGCAACTAAGAGCAGTTTACAATAAAATCAGAAAAAGAAACCATGAACAATTCCTGGAAAGAATGTCATCTAACCCTGGGCATGATGTTTATGGGCTAAAAAGACTGTGTTGTGTGGGTTGTCAATCCAGCAAGCTGGGCTACCCTGAAGTGACATCACTGAGTCAGAGCCAACTGTCAAACACAGAGTTAATCAATGTACTCCCATTCCAACTGGGGCAAACTTTTCTGGAGAAAACATGTATCTGACAGGGACAGGTTGTACACATCGGGCAACATGCACAGGTAGTAAGCTCTTTGCCCTGTCTCTCCTGACATGTTGTAGTCACGATTTAACCCCAAACTCATTCCAACATTGAGTAATACAGTGCAAAGGGCATGGGCTTTACAGCCTCAGGAAACTGGATTCTAATCTCATCCTCTGCAACTTACTAGCTCCGCTTGCCACCTTCATGGCCTCAGAGGAGGTACTTACCCTCTCCAAGCCTTAATTTCTGCATCTGAAAACTGGTCATAAAACCATCAACAACTTGCAAAGCTGCTCTAAGTATGAAAACTAATATATGCAGAAGCTGCACCCCAGTACCTGACGTAAATTTCAGTGAGTGGTTGCTATTTGTCTTAGTCTATTTGCACTACTATAATAAAATGCCTGAGACTGGATAACCTATAAAGACTAGAAATTTATTTCTTACTGTTCTAAAGGTTGGAAGTTCAAGATGGCACCTTGCTACTGAGTCCTCCAGAAGAGACCAGTGCTATGCCCTCACATAGGAGAAGGACAGGAGGGCAAGAGGGCCTACCTAGTTCACTCCAGCCCTTCTATAAGGTTGGAGTGAGGGCTCCACCCTCATAAATGAATCACCTCCTAAAGTTCCCACATCTTAATACTATCACACTAGTGATTAAGTTTCAATATATGAATACAGGAAGACAAATTTAGAAAAACAGCACTATTATTATCATTATTGTGAGGTAGTAGTTTCATCTGTCCCCCACTAGGCTTGAGGGCAAGAAAGCCAAAGGGACCCTGAAGAAGAGCTGTGAAGATCCATGTGTCTACATGTATCTCAATATCTCTTCCTCCATCACCACCTGCACTCCAGCAAAAAGTAAACTGCATAAACACACAGTAAATATTCACTGACGTAAATGACACACAAACTGCATTCCAAATATAAGCACTGCCTCAATGAATGAACTTCCAATAGCCTTTCAAAATTTGGAGCCCAACCAGGATAGCCCTTGACAAATTATTTCCCTTTCATGACTTAGCAAGTGAACACTGTACAATGCAAAGGCAACACAAAGTAGTATTAGTCCTCTAGTGTATGTCAATATTTAGAGAGGCTTGGACCATAGAATGGTATTTGGAGGCCAGGCATGATGGCTAATCCGTGTAATCCCAGAACTTAGGGAGGCCAAGGCAGATGGATCACTTGAGGCCAGTAGTTCGAGACTAGTCTGGCCAACATGGTGAAACCTCATCTCTACTAAAAATACAAAAATTGGCTGAGTGTGGTGGAGTGGGCCTGTAATCCCAGCTACCTGGGGGGCCGAGGCATGAGAACTGCTTGAATCCAATAGGTGGAAGTTACAGTGAGCCAAGATCGCACTACTGCACTTCAGCCTGGGTGACAAAACAAGATTTTGTCTCAAAAAAAAAAAAAAAAGCATTTGCAGGCCACGTAACTCCTCTTTCATGACAGCGTTTTTATTACTTTATTTACTTTGTATTATTAAAGTAACACGTGTTCGCTGGAGAAATGTTAGGAAATACAGGCAAGGAAAAACAATAAAAATCATTCTTAATTTCATGTATAAAGAGAGATTTTTTTCTTTAACAATACCTTACAACATTTTCCCAGTCATTAGTCTTCAACATCGTTTTTTAAAGTTGTCTAATATTCCATTATATAAACCTACCAATATTAATTAAACCTATCCCCCATCACAGGAATTTTAACTTCATTCCAATATTTAGTTACTGAAAACAAAAATGCAATGATATGAACATATTCCTTATTTATTTTACAAATTCATAATAATTTGGCATTTATTAGAACCTTGCTCCCTTCCCCAAACATTTGCAATTAACCCAGAAGTAAATTTCCTTGATTTATGAAAAACTGATTTTTTTATCCGGTCTGAAAATCTGCTTGCAGCTTTGGCTGTATGATCTAATGCAAACCCTTTCCTGGCCACCTATATCCAGTAACTAATCGGTAGTCAACTTTCTCAGCTCTGGCCGCTTAGCTTACTTGTTCAGGGCACAAAGGCTAATAGGGTCAATGTCATGGGATATGAACTGGATATATACAGGCTAGTTAGTTTGCAAGTCCAAAGACTATTTCTGTAACTCCAGACAGCTGCCATTTAAAAGCTGGCTATTTCCCAGAACTGGGCAAAAGAGCATGGGTGGATCAACACAAATTCATCACCACTACTGGAAAGATAATGTGTCAACAGTTTCATCTCCCCCACAAAAAACAGCTCAGAAAAGTATTCATATTAAATTATATAAAACTGAGGAGGCTGTAGAAGAAGAAGAAAAAATAATATTGGGAGGACAATTAGCTGACCTTACACATTTCTTGGTTTATCAGCTTAGTCTGCGAGTAACCCGCCATTTCTACACGAGAAAAACTCAGCAACATGTTTCAAACTGCGGATGGTGGTGTTATTTAACAGGCGATATTCTCTTGCAGCTGACACAGCCCTTGGCACTGATGATGTATATGATGAAAAAGGATGCCAGTGTGATGTATCAGTGGAAGACCTCACCCCACCACTTAAAACTGTCATTCGAGCTATCAGGTCGGTGAAAATCTTGAACAAAGTGATTCAGAGACATACTTCTGATTAATTGAATTGCTATGTTGCTAAGTTATTTTTCTACAGGCAAATATCCTGAAATAACCACTTTCCCTTTTCCTGTTCATCCATAGGCCTATACATTGTGAAATATTTGTTTCTTAATACAAAACTCTGCTGTGTTCAGCGCAGTGTTATAAAACATGGGTAGGATTTGAAAAACCAGGCCATATTAGAGAGATTCCACAAGTCTTGGCTTGTCATGTGTATTTGCTGCTTTAAGGACATTTTGAGTATTGCAGCAATTGGATTTTTAAATTATTTTTATGACTTGCTCATATTTTATATACAAATATAATGTATAAAATATAATTTTATATACAAATACAAATATAACTTTCTCATTTTATATACAAATCTGTATTCTGTACAGAATTGTATATCAAAGAAAAGGCCTTGTAGGCTATTTTAAAATGTGTTGAGTTCTGAAAATGGGAAACTTGAAGTATTTTGCAGTGACTTAGTCTTATTCTCTGAAATGTAATTGTTAAAAGCTTCTCTTAATTTGCTTCCTCTACTGATGGCAGAGAGCTAAGAGAGTACACATAGCAACTTAAATTTACATTTTCCATGACCTTTCCCACCACACACACACACACACACACACACACACACACAATCTGGATCTGGACTAGATGAACTGCTGCATGCTCAGCCAGCCCAGTTTAATCCTTTTGGGAGAATTTGTATCCGTCACAGAATGCTGGGTAACTATATTGGGAAAAAAAAAAAAAAAAAAAAAAACCTCAGCCAGATAGAAAGAAAGAAAATTTAAGTATCCAAACCAGGCCAGGTACACTGGCTCATGCCTGTAATCCCAGCACTTTAGGGGACCAAGAGGGATCACTTGAGGTCAGGAGTTCGAGATCAGCCTGGCCAACATGGCAAAACCCGATCTCTATTAAAAATACAAAAATTAGCTGGGCGTGGTGGCAGGCACCTGTAATCCCAACTGCTTGGGAGGCTGAAGCAGGAGAATCACTTGAGCCCAGGAGGTGGAGGTTGCAGTGAGCAGAGATCACGACTCTGAACTCCAGCCTGAGCAAAAGAGCAAGACTGTGTCTCCAAAAAATAAAATAAAATATCCACACCAATTTAGCTATTCAGATGCTTGGTCTAATCTTAAATATCAGTATGATTGATTACTTCTATTTTTAGTTAGTCATTTGGCATCACGTTAGACACTGCTTTACTCTATAGTTGAGAGTTGCTGGGAAAACAGAAATGAATTCTAAAGATTTTCATAAATATTTGTGGGGTTAAAGCATGGTATGTTAAAACTCCAGAAGATGCTTAGACACTATCTGTAGCAGCAGCCTAAAAAGAAAAGTGAAGTCCAGTTACTTCTCAATGGAACCCTCAAGTCGCAAACCCTATGGGTGGAGAGATTATACCTTCCTGTTTGGCCTGGACAGTCCCAGATTATGCCTGTAGTCTCATCACAAATGTTAATAATGCTCCCCATCTTTCTCAAAGTGTCCTAGTTTGGACAATCAATTAAATGGTCACCATATCACTGGTGAACCTAGAAGCCTTGGGTGATGTATAAGCCCAGATAACCCAGAATATGTAGTGCAAAGATGTCTAAAGCCTTCAGTTAAAGGGATAGAGAGGATTTAGAGCTACGCTGTCCAATATGATAGTCACTGGCTACTTGAGACTATTGAGGCTATTTAAATTTGGATTAATTAAAATAAAATACATTTTAAAATTAATTGATCAGTCACACCATTCATATTTCAAGTGTTCAATAGCCACAGGTGGCCAGTGGCTACTTCATCAGAGAAAGAAACAGAACATTTCCCTCGTCACAGAAAGTTCTATTGAACATTACTGGTCTAGAAGTCACCTTGAAATTTTTCACATGCATTGAGTATATCCATAAAAGACCCTAAAGTAAAGGTGGGGCAATTCAGTCCACAAATTAATCTGACTTGCAACACGTATGGAAAATCTTATCTAGTGAAAGCAGATCAGGCTTCCTAAAGTCATGCTTAACCCAGTTTATGTCATTTCCCAAGACCTTCTGAAGCTTTCTTCTTTTGCTTTACAACCTATAAAAAGGATTGCGAGTTTCAAGAAAGAAAATGAAATAGGTTTATTCTGCCAGCTAAGCACTTTAGCAACAGCTTAAGATTTTCTTTGTTATTCTTCTTGAAACTCGACTGATTTTGGTGAAGTCCTTTGCAGAATTCCCTCGCTATTCAGAATTCTTTCTTGGTTCTTATTTTTAATGTAATTTTACTATTTACATATCTATCTTTTGGTGGATTCCTGAAGTTTTCTGCTTGCTGCTTTGTGATACCTAAGGGGGATGCTTTTCTCCTCCATATCCTGATTCTGCTTAGTGCTTTTTCATCACTTCTAAATTCCATTTAAAATTAACAGATTCTGTCGCTTGAACCCAGGAGGCAGAGGTTGTGGTGAGCCAAGATCGCGCCACTGCACTCCAGCCTGGGCAACAGAACGAGACTCTATCTTAAAAAAAAAAAATTTTTTTAAAGAAAATAAGATTAACAGATTCTATAAATACCTAATAGATACGCTCAATAGCTTAATAACCTAACTGAAAATTTTTTACTCATGGTATACTTCATTTCTAAAGATAAATAATTTTAAAACCAACCAATACAATTAGCGTTCTAAAAAGAAGTTTGTAGGTATAAGTCCTAAATCTTATGCAGAAGGTTTCTTTTCCTAAGGAGTTTAATTATGTTAATAAGTTCAACATCAGTTGCTGGAAAGGTTTTTTGCCAGAACATGCCCACCTCTTGCAGCTCCCCTGAAGCAGTATATATATTTATATTACTGATTGCAAGTGTGAAACATCTATTATTCATCTCTAAAATAGTAATTTCATTTTAACATTTTTCTTATTTTTAATTGTTAGAATATTTAATATGATACTTAAATATGCCTTTTGCATTTCAGTAACTGTTGCAATAGTAGTTTTTCCTAAGAGCCAAATTAAAATGGGTAACAAAAAATACACATTCCACTGCAAGAATGACAGTATGGAAAATAATATTACTACCTTCACAAAGAGCAAAGTAAGAATTCTTATTTTCAGCTATCAATATTTATTAAACACCCGCCATCTTCTACAACCATCTGATCTTTGACAGACCAGACAAAAACAAGCAATGGGTAAAGGATTCCCCATTTAATAAATGGTGTTGGGAAAACTGGCTAGCCATGTACGGAAAGCAGAAACTGGACCCCTTCCTGACACCTGACACTAAAATTAACTCCAGATGGATTAAAGACTTAAACATAAGACCTAACGCCATAAAAACCCTAGAAGAAAACCTAGGCAAAAACATTCAGGACATAGGTGTAGGCAAGGACTCCATGACTAAAACACCAAAAGCAATGGCAACAAAACCCAAAATAGACAAATGGGACCTAATTAAGCTCTAGAGCTTCTGCACAGCAAAAGAAACAATCATTAAAGTGAACGGGAAACTAACAGAATGGGAAAAAATTTTTGCAATCTACCAATCTGACAAAGGGCTGATATCCAGAATCAACAAAAAACTAAAACACATTTACAAGAAAAAACAAACAAGCCCATTCAAAAGTGGGCAAAGGATATGAAGAGGCACTTTACAAAAGAAGACATATATAAGGTCAACAAACATATGAAAAAATGCTCATCATCACCGGTCATAAGAGAAATGCAAATCAAAACCACACTGAGATATCACCTCATGCCAGTGAGAATGGCGATCATTAAAAAATCTGGAGACAACACATGCTGGAGAGGATGTGGAGAAATGGGAACACTTTTACACTGTTGGTGGGAGTGTAAATTAGTTCAACCATTGTGGAAGACAGTGTGGCGATTTCTCAAGGATGTAGAAATAGAAATTCCATTTGACCCAGCAATCCCATTACTGGGTATATACCCAAAGGATAATAAACTGTTCTATTATAAAGACACATGCACACATATGTTCACCATGGCACTGTTTACAATAGCAAAGACCTGGAACCAACCCAAAGGCCCATCAATGATAGACTGGACAAGGAAAATGTGGCACATATACATCATGGAATACAATGCAGCCATAAAAAATGATGAATTCGTGTCCTTTGCAGGGACATGGATAAATCTGGAAACCATCCTTCTTAGCAAACTGACACAAGAACAGAAAATCAAACACCGTATGTTCTCACTCATAGGTGGGTGTTGAACGATGAGAACACATGGACTCAGGGAGGGGAGCCACACACTGGAGTCTATGGTGGGGGAAACTAGGGGAGGGACAGTGGGGATTAGGGAGTTGAGGAGGGATAACATGGGGAGAAATGTCAGATATAGGTGATGGGGAGGAAGGCAGCAAACCACATTGCCATGAATGTATCTATGCAACAATCTTGCATGTTCTTCACATGTACCCCAAAACCTAAAACGCAATAAAATATATATTTTAAGAATAAAAAATCTGCCATTTTCTAGAGATGATTAAAGATACTCTTTGAACTTGTCTGGATGCTATTGTCCAAATGCATTCTGACACGTTTCTAATAATGTCACTGTTTAAAGTACATAGTAAAGAATGACTATTTTTAGACTTTTTCCAAAATATGTCCTCTACTCAGAAGAAAACTTCGTTTTGTATATTTCCTCCTGAATTGTCACAGATTTTTCTCAGAATATTATTTCATGGAAATGCAAAAGTTGGCTGGAAATATGTTTCCAAACTCACCTCTCGGAGTGAAGACTGTACTTTAACAAAACCTCCATATTTTAGTGATTCAGTTCAAACAATGTTGTTTCTTTTCATTCATAGAAATTAGTTCCTAAATGGAAAGATAAAATTAGCAGGAAAGTAAGTCAGCAAATGGATAAACTCTAGAGGATTCTACACACTCACTTATACCTATTTCATAGTAGGTTACCCGTTTTTCTGTCACTGACTGAAAAATATAGCCCATAAATTACCTAGATGTGTTCCTTTAAAATGTCAAGCATCTGGCTAATTGGGAATATCTGAAGGTAACAGTTATCTTTCATGCTAGTACTTGGCATTGTAGTCATTACAGATACATGAATCTTGGGCAAAATTTTACACAAAAATTAATATATGTTTCTTTAAAATAACAGGCCAGGCATGGTGGCTCATGCCTGTAAATCCAGCAGTTTGGGAGGCCAAATCGAGCGGATCACTTGAGCTCAGGAGTTCAAGACCAGCTAGGGCAACATGGTAAAACCCTGTCTCTAAAGAATAAAAAGGAAAAAAAAAAGACTGATACTAAAATAACAAATATTTGAAAGTCATATACAGCTGCATATTTATGCAAGAGCCCCAAAATAATAACTTTTTTAAATATAACAGAAATTGTAGCTCTGTACTAAACTGGCAGGTAATTTATCAGATATGCATACCAACACAACATATAAGTACTGTGTAAAGGATTCAGCATTTGAGGAAAAAGCTTTGTTAAAACAGTGTAATACAAAGAAAAAAACAATAACAAAAAAAAAGTACAGTGTAATACAAAGCTTACCTGCTTCTTACCAGTATTGTTTTCATAGAATTACTACATCTAGGATCAAGGCTACTTTTTTTTTTTTTTAATTTGTAAAATTATTTCAACAGATGTAAAATTATCCTGTCAAATTGCTATTAAAAGTTTCTAAGCACTAATCTCTGCATGGATTGGTACCCAACAGTTGGTGAAGCAGCTCTGGTCCACAAACCAAGCTTTTAAGGCTACTCCTAACAAGATCCTCAATGACTGTTGTTTTCCTATCAATTTGTTTATACACCATGTTTTCTGTCAGTTGTCAAGAACTGAGTCAAAATACTGTGCAACCTGTTCTTCTTCTGAATATCCACAAAACCACTGATGCATATGACTCATTATTTTGAAGAGAAATGACCAAGAAGCTGTTGATTGTGTCTAGCTCTTAACGTCTCTTACTATCTCCATGCAATAATGGTCATGCCTGCTATGTTTCACTTTATGCTACCTTTTCTTTCCCAGGCCAGACTAGCCTTTTAGAGAATAAAATGAATAAATAAGTAAGGTCCAGGGTGAAAACTCAAACAAGTCTTTAGTTGAAGCCACAGCCGGGCTTTACACAGGCACCATCACCTAATTTTATCCCCTCCCACCACCCTCCCTAAAGCTGCTAGGGAGAGGTAATCCAAGAAACAGGACAGCCTCTGTACACCCTTGAGCAATTCACATTCCCGCTTTAAGCCTCTGTTTCCTCATTGGCAAAATGGGGATGGTAACGGTATTGACCTCATAGAGTTATGGAAAGGAATGAATAAATGAATAAACATTTGCAAACTACTTAGAACAGTATACACAGTCAGCATTAGGTAAATGCTAATATTATTACCCTTGAGTTGTCTGGACTCCTAATGCCTTCCAACATGCTGCCTCCACTGCCCATACTCTGCTCTGGCTTATCCTTTTCCTTTCTGAGTTCCACTCACTCCCATGACGAGTCACATGAGAAGCACTTTGTTCCCTCTTCTGAAGGGTGCTCCCATCTTCCAGAACATATACAGCCTCACCTGCTTGCATCTCCTTCACCTGGCAGCACTTGCCATTATCTCCTTGACGTTACCTTCCCACCACCTGGCCTGAGAAATTACTCAGAGCTGGAAGAGCAATTTTTTCACTCATCAAGAGCAACCTTGAGTCAATGTTCCAAGTAGATTTCACCTCTTTTTTCCTCAGGGTGAGCTTGCTGCCTTCCCAGGCACCCTCTGAAGAAGCAACAGGACAATGAAAGGGCTAAGTTAACTCTTCTCTCTCCCTCCCTGACCTTTGCCAAAGCCTGACTATAGACTCTTTAAAGCTCTCCCCAGGGGTTCAGTACATGCATTTAAAAAATAGATCTTGAGCCTCAACTGTGCAGCAGGCACAGAGATAAACGTTAACAAGAAAGATGGATCCCTGCTTAGAGTGTGAGGAGCCACCAGAAAAGTGGGGTCTATTGTAATGCAGAGAAGCATATTACTACAGTGACAGAAATCCAGAATGGTTTGGGCCAACCTATTTCAGCACTTGTGGGGAAGGTGGCATTTGGGAAGACTTTCTAAAGAAGGAAAAGAAGAAATCTGGTAGATATGTGGGAACTAGCCAGGTTACTAAGGAGGGTGGTAGAGGCTGGCAGAGAGAACTGCAATTGCAAAGAAGCAGAAATGAAGGTGGCATTTGAAAGTATGGGTGATGGCTGAAGGTGGAGAACAAGGATGAGGAGAGTAAGCGTGAAGAGAGGAGCAGGAACCATAAAAATGAGCAGGAATGCGGAAAGATTCTAAGTACAGAAATGAATTTATCAGATCAGGGCTTGATATGGTTTGGATCGGTGTCCTTGCCCAAATCTCATGTAGAACTGTAATCTACAATGTCAGAAGAGGAGCCTGGTGGGAAGTGATTGGATCATGGGGGCGGATTTCGCCCTTGCTGTTCTCATAATAGCAAGCGAGTTCTCACGAGATTTGTGTTTTAAAAGGGTGTAGCACCTCCCTTCTCTCTCTTCATTCTGCTCCAGCCACATAAGAAGGCTGCTTCCCCTTTGCCTTCCACCATGACTGTAGGTTTCCTGTGGCCTCCCCAGCCATGCTTCCTGCACAGCCTGCAAATCTGTAAGCCAATTAAACCTCTTTTATTTATGAATTTTCCAGTCTCAGGTATTTCTTTATAGCAGTGCAAGAACGGACTAATACAGCAGTTCATTTGAAAACTTGGAAAGATGACTCTGATTGCAATGTAAGGAATATACTGGAAAGAGAGAAGTATTGTTACAATACCTGGATCTGCCAGAGCCTGAGCTGGGCAGTCATGATGGAGAACAATGAAGGATGGATTTCAGATAGGATTTGGATATTTACAGATAGGAGAGGATGGAGGGAAAGAACAGGAGGAATCAAGGATGGCACACCTGGAGGATGGTGAGACAGAGGCTGGCTTGAGGGGAGATGGTGCATTATTGTGAGTGTTGAGTTCAAGCAGTTACAGTAGGCCTCAGCAGTAGGTGGATCTCTGGATCTGACACCCAGGAGAACAATCTGAAATTTGCATAAATTTGGTAGCTGTCAGCACAGAGATAAATGGTTTGCAGAAGTCTCACCCCAAGGACTAAAAAGAGAAGATGGTCAACACAGAAGTCTAAGCCTCACAAACAGGAACTGCAAAAGGAAGACTGCTCTGAAGGTGACAGATTCAAAGCATCCAGACAGATGGAAAACCAGGAGAGTGTGACAGAAGAGGAGCCAGAGGAGGAAAGTGTTTCAAGCAGGAGGCAGATGTCAACTCTGTTAAATGCCACTAAGAGGCCAAAGAAGATAAAAAGTGAGAAGGTCCTCTGAAAGTGGCAGTGAGGTCATCCATGACTTCGCAGAAAAATTCATTAGAAGGAAAAGGGTTTGAAGCCATATGGTAAATAGAATGCTTTTTTAAATTACAAGAATCTTTCTCTCTAATACGAACATAGATGAAGCGTCAAGAATTTCTTTGTAACTAGCAAAGGCTCATCAACTCTTCTAAAATAGCTCACATCTGATCAGCAAACTGAAGAACCACTAATGACATTTCAGAGTTTCTGAGGTAGGTATGCAAATCAGGCCTCACTGTTACCCTGGGTTGGGTGATAAAGTTTTTCAGTTTTTTTTTGTCCCTGTGTTCTTCCTGTTCTGAAAGGCATGTATGGGACCATTCTCTTGACCATCCCTAAAATGCAGTCTCAGCTGTGAATCCTTCTTACATCTCACTTCATACTTCAGGCAAGAATACGCCACAAGTAAAGAAGAGGCACATGTTTGCCATTGTGGGTTTTGTCAAATCTACAAGCTGTTTAATCACCAGTTCTTAATTTTGCTGATGGCATCTCTGCTATTTTAGCAGAGGTGATGAGTCTTTGTTTGCAAGTCACTATTAAGACATTCTTGACAGCCAATCTATGACACATTACAGTAAAGGATGCTGCTAAAAGAACACTTTATGGATCATTTAGCACATATCTTTAAAATCCACTAATATACTCCTTAGAATGTTCTTTTTGCTTATTTTTGTTTTGAAGGTAATTACTTGTGGCTACATTTGCTCTGAGGCTGTGTTAGTGTTTTCACTGAAGATACACTTACTTTATAGCATCTGAGATATTAAACCTTTTATTTGGCTGTAATTTAAACTGAGTCTTCTATTCTTTGCTAATAATATTACCTCCTATTCTATGCTCAAAATATTTAAAAGCAGTCAACATGTATAGTCAACTTATTTATTTACTTATTCATTTCACACTTTAAAATTTATGCAAGATTTTATACTCCTAGGAAAACAAATCCCCAAATTTAGTTGCCGTATCAATGCTTACAAATTCCTGGCAGAAAAAATTAAAACAAAACAAAACAAAAAACCACTTTTCCAAGGTTAAAAAAAAAAAAGAAAAAAGGAAGAAAAAAAAATTCCTGGCAAGAAAGACTTGCTCAGATCTGGAAGTTACTACTCTTACACCCTTAAAGAAAATCCAACAAAATCTGTAGTTGGGGGAAGGTGCAGTGGGTCATGCCTATAATTTTAATACTTTGGGAGGATGGCTTGAGCCCAGGGATTTGAAGCCAGCCTGGGAAACACAGCAAGACTCCGTCTCCACAAACGTTTAAAAAAAAAAAAAAACCTCTGCAGAAGAGTCTACTAGATCCTGCATGTAAAAGACAATAATGGCAAGCATGAGGAGGACATGTCTACCCTCAGTGGTGGAAACAGTGTGGCCACAGAACATCTGAATGTCCTAAAGGAGCCAAATGGAATATCTGCTTGCCCCTACAGTGAGAACATCAGACAGACTGTACACACGTGAAGTTAATTTACATTTCTCTATTCAGAGTTAAAACCAAGAAAATGAGACAGATCAGTGCGTTCAGGGACTCCTGGGGTTCCTTGGTTTTGTCTAGTAACCCAATCTGAGATCAAAGAAGAATGGAGGAATCTTAGATATATAATTTTATAACTTGCTTTGCAAGTTATAAAACTGTCAGAGTTTAAATACTGTATACACAAATGCAAATCTGTATTGTTGAATTATGTTTATGTATTAACAGGCAAACAACATTAAAAAGTATTCTAAATAACTGACATATATGCCTTCAATAATGACGCAAATTATCAAGCCCTTAAGCCCTAGTTGTCTGCTGGATTTATTCCATGATCACTTTCAAGAGAAGGCTACCTCAGGGGAAATTCTGTGATCAAAAGGCTGTACGTCACCTGAAGGATGAGTCTTGGGGTTCGTGCTTTTAAGACAGATGCTGTATTTCTCATGGAGAGTCAGAAATCAGAAGACAGAATTTTCCAAACTGGAAGAGGGAGTATTTCAGTCTGTTTTCTGATATTTATAACAATACCTAAAACTGATTGATTTATAAGGAAAATGAATTTATTTCTTACAATTATAGAGGTTGGGAGGTCCAAGGTAGGGGAGGTGCACCTGGTGAGGGCCTTCTTGATGGTGGGGACTCTTGTGGCATCCTGAAGCAGCACAGGACATCACACAGCAAGGGAATTGAGCATGCGAAGTGCTAGCTTAGGTCTCTCTTCTACTTCTTATAAAGCCACCAGTTACCGTCTCATGATGGCTCATTAATCCATTAACGCATTAATTTATAATTCATTCATACAGCCAGAGCCCTAATGATCCAATCACCTCTTAAAAGTTTCACCCTTCAGTACTGCCACATTGAACATAAAATTTCAACATGAATTTTGGAGGGGTCATTCAAACCATAGGAGAGAGATGTGGAATGCATGTCAATAGTGTAAATTAACCCAAATAACCAATATAAAGCAAGGGGTTAAGGGAGAGAAACCCATATCCACCCCATAAACGTA